GGCAGTCTAACCGGCGACTCCCTCATCCGCCACGCAATCGGCGGCTGTGTCTTCGCTGCTGGCCGCATTCTAGGCGCTATACCCACTATCTACTCGCCTGATAGCACGCCCTCGCCTACTTCGTCGACACCGCGGTCTGTGTCGCCGGTGTCGACGTCTGATACTGAGATTGCGGCTGAAGATGGAGTTGCTGGAGTTGCTGGGTTGAGGAAGGAAAGGAGTGGGAGGCGCACGCCTGGTGAAGCGACGAATGGTCATGCGGATTTGCATGTTGATCGCAGGAAGCTGGTTAGGGCGGTTGAGACGGCGCAGGTGGAGAATAGGTATTGGGTTGATTCGGGGTGGTGGGCTGGGGGGTTGGGGCCGGGGAGGCGGTGATGGATGATGATGGATAAGTGGTGAGCTGTGGGTTGTCTGGGAGGCGTTGGTGGGAGTTTGTACATACCCATTTTCATGCGAATATATATCTACCTTTACACATCTTGGGCCTCTATGCACATATACGCTCTGTAGTTCAAGACGACGCGTGGTCAAGAAAGAGCTGTTCTGAGGGGAATTACCGTACTAGCTGTTCTCTACAACATCTGAAGCTCCAGTGGCCTGTCGGCACACAGCAAACGTATGGAGCTTTAGCACTGAGAAGCTTTGAAATATTAAACATACTTGTTGAGGTGTGTACAGCAACAAGTAGCCACTACACAAGCTCTTCAAGATATTCCCATCCTGGGGTTATCACAAACTAGAATGTGGAAGCTTGTTCGTCGTAAAGTCTTTCAATTGATCTCTGTTTAACGCCGACAAAAAGCAGGAGTAAGCGGTTCAACGCCTTCTAACCCACTCGTACGGCGTTCTTAGTAAGGAGACGGAATCGTGCCTCGAGAGAGTTCGTACATAAGTGCTGCAGGTCGAGTTTCCCCCAAAAAAAAGATGCGAGAAGATGGCTGAACAAGAATTCCAAACCTCAAACAAAAAAGAACCGTGAAGTATGCCCACTACCCGAATCGAACGAGTGATCTTCGCATTACAAGTGCGACGCCTTACCGCTTGCTGGATGTATGTTAGATGATGTTGGTGGTGGTGGTGTTGTGTGGAGATGAACTTACGCCAAGCGGGCAATTACTGGTAATTGATGGCAAAAAGTTGCAATTGTAGATTTATGAACTTATAGAGTGCAAGAGCATCCAAAAGATTCGTTTAGTGGGCAGAGCGAGAAAACGCAAAGCCCCGCAGTGGCTGCGGGGCTGGATTAAATTCGCTTGGGCACCTACAAACTTCAGCACAGCGGTAACGTTGCTTAGTGGGGCCTGCTCTGTACTAGCTCCTGTTGGGTCGGTTTCACTTTGTCACTGATGGTAAGGGTGTTATGATATTATTAAGACACTGGAAAGAAGTGAAGCGATTAGTCTATCAATTTTGCTATCTAGATAGGCTCTTGCGGTGTTTGAGGCCGATTCTGTGTAGCTGAGGTTACTGAATTGCGACGACCGGAACCACTGGCATATTCAAAGTCTCTTGGACTGGAGAACCTCTGAAGGAATGCATGATGCTTGAGTAGAGTGTTGACGGAATTGGGAGCTGTTATTTCATCATATGCATCCCAATCATCACTGACTAGGATATGCTCGGGCTTAACTACACAACAGATGTTTCGAAAATATGACGGAAAACTTGAGATACGGTTGCCAAAAGTTTGCAATCCCATTCCCAACTTTGGAATCGTTGTCGTGCGCCCTCGATTGTGTTGAATGACACCTGCAGCAGCAAATGTGACTCGGCGCGCAAAGTTGGCAAGGGGGTTCAGCGCATCCATGGATGGTCTGGAGATTCGATGTGTAGCCTCAACAATATTAGGCAGCAGCATTCACCACAACCATCCTGTGGTTAACGGGAGAGTAATCGCAACTATGCTGATTCACCAACTACCCCGTGGGTTATTAGTGTTCCGTGGCAAAGGCCGATCATTCAAGGTTAGCCTCACCTTTGTCCCGTAGTTCGAGCGTAAGCTCCGACCACCGCTACATCATCGCCGCTGTAAAGGCAACACGTAGACCAAGACTTTCACCCTACACCACATTTCCACACTACAGTCCTTTCCGATATAAACCTCTGTCGCAGAATCTGGCATCCGATCACACACAACTCAAAACCTCAATCCAGAATCAGACCAGCTGAACACCTAAGATGGCGGACAGCGGCGTGGACATCGCATCCCTCACAGCCGACCAGCAAGCCGCGCTCCAGCAATACACCGCCGTTACCGACCAAGCAACATCCGACGCGATACCAATTCTCCAACGCGCGCAATGGAATGTCAACATAGCAGTAACCCGCTTCTTCGACGGCGAACCGACCGAAGACCCAGTCGCTGCCGCCGCCGCACAATTACCACCACCCCAAGACATCCGCCGACAAGAGACACTGTTGAATGGTTTTGCTTCGCCGCGATCTTCAACAGGTAGTGGGAGGAGAGTCAGGATAGAGCCTGCGCCAAGGGTGGTCCCGCAGCCAGAAAGCCAAGTCACCACACAAGTTCCGCTGGTGCTTGCGATATTCTTTGCGCCATTCTCGCTCGTGTACTCGTTATTCGCAAAGTCTTTCCGACTATTAGGCTGGCTATTCCCCTTCCTACCCCGCGCATGGGGGAGGGTGACGGCTAGCAACATCAACACACCCGCCTCTCAACGCAGCGCAAGCGGACGCCGACCTTTGAACCCACGAGATACCGCGGCGCGATTCATCCGCGAGTTTGAGGAGGAATATGGCAGCCACAACCTCCCGTTCTTTGAGAGCGGTTACGCACAAGCCTTCGATCTGGCTAAGAAGAACCTTCAGTTCTTGATGGTCGTGCTAGTCAGTCCCGAGCACGATGAGACGTCTTCCTTTATAAAGGACACACTGCTAGCACCAGAAGTCGTGGAGTTTGTACGAAACCCCGAGAACAACATCATACTTTGGGCGGGCAATGTGCAAGATTCGGAGGCATACCAGGTTTCTGCCGCGCTATCGTGCACAAAGTTCCCTTTTACCGGCCTGATCGTACACACACCTCAAGTGTCATCGACAGCCATGGGAATCGCGGCGCGCGTAGCCGGCCCTACAACCCCGCAGCAGTACATCGCAAAGCTAAGACAGGCGATGCAGCAACACACAGAGCCGCTGAATCGCGTACGCAGTCAGCGCGCTGAACAGCAAGCGACAAGGAATATCCGAGAACAACAGAACAGCGCATATGAACGCTCACTTGCAGCGGACCGAGAGAAGGCGCGCAAGAAGAAGGAGGAAGCGGAGCGGAAAGCCCGAGAAGAAAAGGAAGCACTTGAGCGAGAACAAGCCATTGAACGATACGCACAAAATCTTGCCCAATGGCGCAAATGGCGCGCCGCATCTATTCGCTCTGAGCCCAGTCCCGATGAAAAGGACATCGTACGCATCAGTCTTCGCATGCCTAATGCCGAACGTGTGGTCCGCAAATTCGCCGCGGATGCTCACATCGAGGAACTCTACGCGTTCGTTGAATGCTACGATATCCGGCAGTCTGAAGAAAGCTCACAGGAGAAAGTCGAAGAGCCGAAGGACTTCGAGCATGAGTACAAGTTCCAACTGGTCAGCCCTATGCCGCGCGAGGTGTACGAGCTCAAGACTGGTGGCACGATCAAGGAGCGCATTGGACGAAGTGGTAATTTGATCGTTGAGCGGACGGATCTTGAGGATGAAGAAGACGAGGAGGAGGAGTAATCGCATGAATATAGTCATTGCGCTGGCGTTACGCATTTCTGCTCGACTTAGCGTGGGACGTGGTGGACATCCACTGAGGTTTTTGATATGATAGATACGTTGGTTACGAATGTGAAGATGTATGTACGGCCAATCACGTACATCTCTACCATATGCAGTGCTATTTTTGTCCTTTTGAGCCCGATTGCCTCATAAGTAATTGCAAGACGATGAACACAGCCACAACTGTGCTTCGAGTGCTTGTATCGGGTAGGCTACGGCTGTCTCGGGTGCACGGGCCATATCTTAGTGCCGCTCCCGGTTTCGTCGACGGGTGACGCATCACAAGCGTAGATCGACCAATCTGCCCATCGCGTTCCTCCAGACAAGCCTCCGATATGATCGCATCAACAACATAACATGGACAGAGCTAAGACTCGCAAGCCTCATAAGAAGTCGCGAAACGGCTGCTTACCGTGCAAAGGCAGACATGTCAAAGTGCGCCTTCCCATTCGAGTTACGAATTCTACTTGCGACTAACAAACTTCAAAGTGCGATGAACAGAGGCCCAACTGCGCAAACTGCGTGAAGCAAGGCACGGTGTGTGAATACCGACCTTCCACCAACCGCGAGAGTCGTGAGGCGTCCCACGTATCGCCTTTGCCGGCTGGAACACCAGCTTTTACGCCGTCATCCACAGATGGTCATGCCAATGCTCTTGATCAGCAACCATTACCAGAGTTTGGAACTATCGATCTCAATGGCGCATCTAGCCGGCCTGATCTGACACTGAATATACCCCAACTACGGTTGCTCCAGTACGTCCTTTCAATTCGATCTTGACGCTTTGAGAGTGTCTCACTCTACCTCCAAGACCGGTCATAACCTTCGGTCACCAGAACATATTCACTGCTTACGGAAAAGATCAAGAAATTTGAACTGACTCTGTGGGCAGTCACTATACTAATGTCACCGCCAAAACCCTCGCAGCGAATAATACTGATGCTGAGGATGTGTGCTCGACCTTTCTGATACAGACAGCTTTCGATCATCCCTACCTCCTCCAGGCAGCTCTTGCTCTCAGCGCGCTTCATCTGAGCCGAATTTCAGCTCCAGAAGAGGCTTCGCAATACTCGTACCAGGCCGAGAAGTACCATGACGCAGCTCTACTTAGTTTCCAAACATCGGTTCGCGACATCGATCATTCGAACTTCAAAGCGGTCCTTCTGTTTGCCGGAGTCCTATTCCCACACGCATGTGTAGCTTCAGTTGCAGCTCACTCGGATATGGAGCACGCGTTCGACAGCGTGCTTTCCAATCTAGTTTTGACCCGGAGGATACGGCCCATGGTAACTGGCTTCTACACAGAAATGAAGGCGAGCGAGTTGGGCCGCATGATTCCGGACGACGTCAAAGATATTGATTGGATGACGGAAGAACAACCACCCAGTACTGAACTTGTCCAGCTGCGCAAATTCTCGGAGGTCGTCCATCATGTCTATCCTCCCGATATCGTGGATGCATATGGCTTTGCCTGCCATATCCTCGAGCTGGTCTTCCAGGTCGCGGAAAAGTCTGATAAGCCGCCTTCCGACGCGTTGCTGAAGATTTGGATCCACCTCATCTCCAACCGCTATATCGAGCTTCTATCGGAGAAGCAGCCGGGATCTCTAATCATCTTTGCACATTACGCGGTCATGATGCACAGAGCAGCAGCGAGTTACTGGTATCTGGAGGGGCTCGCAGAGCAGATACTCAAGATTGCGGATCACATGGTCCCTAGCGAGTGGAAGCAGTGGCTCCAGTGGCCCAAGGAGCAGATACGAGGTGGCTCTGTTCCGCCGACACCATATTCGGGACATACGACATGAAGCCTTGGAAGTTCTCTTGGCATTCGACATTTTTATCAATGTGCGCCGAGCTGTCTACGCTCCCAACCTTCTGCAAAAGGCGAGCTGTTGCTCCATGGAACAAATTGTCCGACGCAGGCTATGCTGCCTGTTGCGGAGACGCGGAGATCGCGAACATGCCTGATTACCGCCAGCTTGCGCACAACTCTTGCATCGAAACAACATCCCTACGCCAAATCAGTATTGATTATTCCTTCTACCAGACTGCTTTGGGATATGCTTGCGAAGAATGTGTGGCTGGCTTGACGAAGTCTTATGTCGTAAGTGGAATCAGGCTAGGCTCGAGTATCCGCATGTTGACTGATCAGGTAGACTACCATTACAGGACTTGGCTGGTCAGCGTAGAACACGACCATTCGAAGCGATGATAGTTATCAGGGGGAGGCTGTGCGAAACGTGCGAAGCAGCCGACTTATCTACTTGCACGCACCACGTCAAGATTTACGACGTATTCTGGAAGCGACATTGAAGAGTTCCTCCTGCTACCCCGTGTTTGACACCACTACACGCGAGGAACTAATGTAGGATGTTCGAGGAAAGAACAAAAAGAGTGGAGCTCAGTATTCTGGCAGCAATGCGATTGGCGCGTCGTATCTGGACGCGCTAGTCGTATGCACAGACCCTTATCCTTCTCTATCCGGGATATGTACGCATTCCAACAGAAGGCGGGAACGTTGCTCGGGCAATCTATGTACGGGTCCAGGGAATCTAGATACGGGATACGCTAGGTGGGCTGTGCCCCGCGGCTTCTCATTATCACTTCTATACATAAAGACCTTACTATACTCTTCTCCACCAGTCAGCCTCAGTCCACATACCAACAGTTCAACAGTGTACTACCACAGGCCCTTCACAATCTCTCAAATACATTGCCACAACTGTTCAATCTGATTCCGTGGTACCATAAAGGCTCTTGCCTTAAACCCCCTTCCTCCAACCCAAAATGTCGACACCGGGACCAGTAGACGACTCAAACGCGATACCAGAATATGTACTCTGGCCGTACACACCCACGATCGCAGCCGGTGCCATTACCGCCGTGATCATGTTCATACTGTTCTTCATCCACACATACCGCCTCGTCAAGAACAGGACATGGTTCTGCATACCCTTCGTCATCGGCGCTCTAGTATGTATTCAATCCCCCTTCCAACCCTCCAGCTTCTGGTTACAAAAGCTGCTTAACCCAAGAAAACACATTGCTAACACCCACTCCAGTGCGAAGCCATAGGCTACTCCGCCCGCGCTGCAGCCCACAACGACACCGAGAACAAAACCCCCTACATCATCCAATCCACGCTCATCCTCCTCGCACCCATCCTCTTCGCAGCCTCCATCTACATGATCCTCGGTCGTCTCATCCGCCGCACAGACTCTGCTGAGTACTCGTTGATCAGAGTGAACTGGTTGACCAAGCTCTTCGTTGGCGGCGATGTTCTCTGCTTGTACGTTCCCCAAAAACAACACAACACAACACAACTCCCAAGAAAGCCATCCATCATGCTGACATAATATCCTAGTATGATCCAAGGCGGTGGCGCCGGCATGCTCGTATCCGCCTCCGACGCCGCGGGCTTCAAGCGCGGCGAAAACATCATCCTCGGCGGCCTCATACTGCAAATCCTCATCTTCGGCTTCTTCGTCGTGGTCGCTGGTATCTGGCACGTAAGACTTCAAAAGGGACCTACGGCTGCGTCGGCGGATATCCCGTGGACGAAGTTGATCTGGTTTTTGTATGCGGCTAGTGTGTGCATTACTATTCGTAACCTTTGTAGGGTTATTGAGTATGCGATGGGCAAGGTATGTTTTGTCTTTTCTATGGATGTTTGGATTTGTGCTAATTGATATTGATGCAGGATGGTTACTTGCTGTCGCACGAGTGGCCGATTTATGTTTACGACTTCTTGCCTATGATGATTACGCTCATCGTGTGTGTATGGTGGTACGACCCGAACATTAAGCCGGCTCGCAAGGGAGATATCGAGTTCGCTCGTCGATAGATAGGGTTGGAATTTGTTCTTGTTAAGGGCAGCATGTTACAGCGTGAAGTTGGGACGGCATGGTTCTACTGGCTTGTGAAACTGATTACGGGAGTCGCAAGTCTTATTTCATTTTCTTTGTGTAGCGTTCATGTTGAAACTTTGGAATTTCGTAGGAAAGAGCGCTTAGCGATATGGGTTCATGGAATATCCGTTTGGATATAAGTGTAGATACCTAGTATAGCACATACAGACCTTGTTCATCTGACTCTGCAGCGAGTACATCGCTCATATTATCAACTTTGTACCAAGTACGTATCTCTTCAAGATCGTTATCCCACCGTATGCATGGGGAAAATTGAACTGGTCTACGGTCCACACGAAGACGGCAACTCGCAGGTTCGGTGACCCATCGTCAATGTATTCTCTACGGTGTTCACTCATCTCCTCGGACGAGATTCTTCACTTTCGCTTTTATTATTGACACGGATCTACACATGTCCCATGTCTACCTCTGAATCTCCCTCTCTTCGTATTTCCTCTCTAGGCCAACCCTTCCAAAGCAGACTACTCCTGTCTCTCCCTCGCATCATCAATCGCCTTATCCCAATTATAAAACTTCATATAAATACCCTCAGATACCGTAATGCAGGCCGAACCCACCGCACACCCAGTCCAAAGCCCCACCAACTTCATATCCTGCTTGAAACAAAGGAAAAGCGCCAACGGCACCGCAATAACATAGTACACGAAGAGATTGCACCAGCCCCCAATATTCTGTTTTCCCAGTCCACGAAGCAAGGCGTTTACAAGTGCGGTCGTGGAATCCGCGAATTGGAAAGCAGCGAGTAAGGGGAGTACGGTGGCGACTATGCTGACGACTTCAGGGTCGCTGGTGAAGGCTTTGGGGAGGACGTTTCGACAGGCGGTTAGGAAGGCGAAGTCGATGAGGCCGATGGCGAGGAAGGTTAGGATGTACGTTTTTGTGGCGGTGCGGGCGGCGGAGAGGGAGCCGGCGCCGATTAAGTTGCCCAGGCGGGTTGAGACGGCTACGCCGACGGAGAAGGGGACGTGGTAGATGGCTACTGCTAGAGTCATGACGATTGACTGCGCTGCTAAGTGAGCTGTGGAAAGATAACTTGTCGAAAAGGTAAGAATGTCCTACTAGAGGATTAGCGTGTGCTCCATATCTGAAAATGCAGTGCATGAAACTTACAAAAGCTAGCCACTCGGTCTCGACCATGACGATACCTGGGACTGCTAATTTTGCCATCGGCCCCCAATGGGTGAACGCAGCCTTCGTGAAGCCGCCCCAGCATTCCAGCGAAGACGGGTTAACGAAGTACACATATATCCAAAGCAGTAATGGTAGGAGGTTGTTGGAGATGACAGTCGCGAGGGCAGCACCCGTGAGATCCCAGTCCAGAACGAAGACGAAAATATAGTTCAGAGCTATATTGATAGGCGTCGCAATGAGCAAGACAAAGAGCGAAGCGTTGAACAGGCCCTGTGCTTGCGTGAATCGCTTGCCAGCCTCGAAGATGGCATATCCTGGTGCTCCTGCGAGGAGTAACGAGAGGTAGTATCCAGCGAGATGCGCAATCGCCTTCTCGGGGACCAGGGCGGCCAAAATCCAACCTGAACACAGCCAGATAGCTCCGATGGGGATGGTCACAGCTAACATGAAGAGGATCATGCGTTGAAGGTGGAGTCCGACCATGGTCTTCTTCCCGGAACCATAAGCTTGCGCGCAGAGAGTGTCTAGTGATGTGGCCAGTCCTTCGTAGATTGCTAGTCCGGTGATATTGGCTGTCATTGTGGCTAGAGAGACCGCACCAAGCTCATCCGTTCCGACTATGCGGGATAAGAGTCAGCTTGCATCTGATGGGATCTGTGTTTCAAAGACTTACTATGCCCTACGACGAATATCGTCACCAAACTGAATGAGTACTGCAGCAGGTACGTCCCCATCAACGGAACGCTGTACTTCAGCAGCAACTTGGCTTCCTGCCCCGCCGTGGTCCCCAGCTCTTCTGTCGTCCCATCTCCACCCAGCAGACTCTCAATCTCAGAGGGATCCGGAATTGCGCCATATTGATTCTGCTTCGCCGCGTTTTCGTGCGCCCTAAGTAAGCCGACGCGCTCAGCCGTGCTCGTCGAGAACCTGCGCGCCTCGGGAGCGTCCATTGTGTTATAGGTAACGCCGCCGCCAGATGTAAAAGGGAACGGAACAAAACCCAGCGCTAAAGACGAGATGTCATAGTCGTACTCCAAGTGCGTGACCTCGATGTGCTGGACTTTGTCCTGGTGTTTCGCTCTCACAGTCGTCGGCTCGGGCAGCCAAAGTGGGGCTAGGAGCTGGGCCTCTGCCGTCAATGGCGCATCTCGGCGCATGGCGATATCGGGCAGCTTGCAGCGAAGCAGTAAAGCGTCGGACGACTAACGAGGGGCGGGCATAGTCTTGCCTGTGCCGTGTGGAGTTTGAGTGCGACAGGTGCCCGGATGCGGGAATGTTTGTCCAGAGTCTGCAGCTTTTCACGAGGTTTTTGTGGTGCGAGATGGGCACTGTCGTGGGCTCATTTCCCGCGCTGGGCTGGCACCAGGGTCTCCGCTGCTCTCGTTGCCATGTTTACTGCGAGCTGTGCCTGCACCGACCATTCGCAACGGCGGGCCGCGAGACATAGTCTGGTAAGAGCGAGGCGTTGGGGTGCGTGGCGATGATCGTACCATCGTAACGCGCTTCGGAAGGAATCCCATTGGCGCGCACTGGTTCGTCATTCAATCATCTCCGAACCTCCCGGTTCGCGCTACTGTCGAGCACGTATGCTGGATTACCTCACTGAGCATTTCCAGAGATGCGCGAACTGTTAGCTGAGGATGAGGAGGACGATTCGTCTGCGTGTTGTCGTTCGCAGCGGTCGAGACGACGTTTGGAGACTTCCAAGGTTTGGCTGACCTGCGTCTACCTAGGTAGCTGTCCATTATCTAGGAAGAGAACTATCCTCAGTCAGCATATCGTCGACGATTCTTTCCTCGTTAAACGAAATCAACAGCTCCGACTGTTTTCTACGTTACATACATCGTGGCCGTACTATTTTCGTGCAGATGCGTTGTCGAGCATGAGATGGAGCTCGAGATCTCATACTGCGTTGACAAGAACGAAGGAAGAGACTTGATGTACCTGTGCTACAGACAAAGACTGGACGTCAGTGTAACGTCGCCATGGCAGCTAAGACATAGTGAGCCATAGCCAAGTTAGTCTCGACACGGGTGAGCGACCATACCCAGGAAAGCCGTCTTGCACTCTATACCCAACTTGACAAGTATTAAGAAAATTGACGCGACTTCAGGCTGCCATATTCGTACCCGCTGCTTCCATTGTCGTTCTACCACATTCTCCGCATTTTCTCCACTGTGGCGTTGGCGCGTTGTGTGTTCGCAGGTTTCCTGACTGCGGTTCATGTAATCTGATAATCGGATCTGATTAAGATTCTACCGCGAGTTCAATCACTTCCTACATTACTAGGACCATATGTCAGGGATGCCTCTTCCTACCCTTATAAGGAGGTAGATTATCTAATATACCTTTTAGGAGATTCCAAATCTGATACATAAGATTGTAGTGCATATATATGATACGAAGCTAACCCCAGATTTCAGCGAAATTGAAACACAGCAACCACACCTGTATAGCGTAGCGACCACTCACTCCTATATAGCCGCGAGCACGTATATTTGATACGTCTTGAGCGGTTGCTTCCTTGTATGTATGCATATTCTTTTGTAAGAATGCTTCAAGTTTAGCGTGAGCTAGCCCGTCTCACCAACGAAGTACGAAGTGTTCAGCAATGAAAGCTAACACATGACCTCGAGAGACATCGCCCCAGTGTCTTCCATCTACCAATGTACGTCAAGAACATCTACAGAACAGCAAGTCAAACATACCATTTATCAGCCACCGTCTGACATCACATCACATCACCCTTTGAGTCCAACGACATCACCCGGCGACTTTCATGTAACCATCGTGACAACCGTGAAATGTAACGCTATTGCGCTCACATTCTCCCGGTGGGACACACACACACACCACACATCTTACATCACCCAAGCACCCATCACCATCTTTATATCCATCCATCCCGCCCTTATTCCCAGCACCGCTTACCCCATCCTTTTCCGAGCGATCCGAGAATATCCTCGCCACAGCCCTAACCCAACAGAATCCCATCATCGAATTTCGTGTGTAGCCCAAAAACCCGCATGTGCCAAACGCGTAGGTACACCCCCAATATTCACGACTCAGAAAACCTTCCGCAGCACCCACCCCACGACCTCGCGCAAAGCAAGTAACCCGGCGGGGCGCAACCCAAAAAACCACGCCAGGCCAGCCAAGGATTAGGCCATCTGGCACTTGCTCATTCCTACGCTCGGCGGCATTCATGGCGGACAGGATGCAGGGGAGACATTACGTCAGGGACGATTTTCGCCCAGTCCGCCGAGAGGAACAAGCGCGGGGTGGGGTGGCGCGCTCGCAGACGAATCGCTGGCCTAGAAAACGCGAAGCACTTGAGGAGCAGAGGGGAGCGACTAAGCGGTTGTACGTAAGAGGTAAGCCGTCCTTTGTGCTATGTATGCCGTGCCGCTCACGACTCGCATCATCGTGCGATCTGCCCGCCTATTCATTCCGCACTGCGTTCCACTGGTTCCGCACTGTAGGATGGATTGGATGAATGGAGGGAGGAAGGATGCACCTGCTCAATCGGATGAGTGTTCCCTGGCGAATGCGATGAGGGTATATCCCAATCCTTTTCCACCTCAACGGAAGTACCGGCAGCGCAAACTTCTTTCACTGCACTCATGGCGTGACTATCTTTCATGCATCTGCATATCGAAGGTTTCTTCCATGGGAGGTTTTCTACTGGTTCGTTGCTGGAAACAGTTTCCTTGGATCTAGAATAGGTTTAGATGTATCCCGGGGTAATACATTGTACTACAACACATCCAGCATAACGTGCAACATACACCCGCCTAGGTAGGCAAGCTGCAAATCCATCTATCAATAAACGCCCGCCCCCCCACGAACCTACGAAAACAACGAGGAACGGGCAAAGTGGGCCGAGCGCGCGTCTGCATCGTGCATCGGGCGTAGGCGGCGCAAAAAGGTAAAAGGAAAAAGCGGTTGACAGGACCCTGTTACTGTACATGCCAATACTTCCGGAGTCCCGTACCGTACAAACCTTCACGCGCGCGTTGAGCTGCAATGCATAAGTGTAAATGTGGAGTTGAGCACTTAGACCACCGCCGCACCGCGTGGGAGGAGACGAGACAAAAGGGAAAAAAGGAATATTGACGTTGATCAGAGCTGATCGGAGCCGTGCACGCGCGACGACGACCTGTGCAATTAGAGCGGTAAAGGAGAAGAACAACGCGACGACGCAATGCGACGCGTGTTCTGGGCGAGGATAAGACGTCGTGTTTGATGACCATTGGGGAGTGGGTGATTCTTTCTTTTCGTGGCTGGGATGCGCAGAGTGAGGCTCAGCGAGTGACGGTGCAGGCAATGCAGGTTGTGATGATCGCTGGCTGCTGGGGTGCACGTGGATGGCTGTGGCCGGCTCCGAAGACCGCACGTCGCTCACTGTTGAATGATTGAGCGCGTGCTGCCGACGCATAACGATCTTCAAGTCAGACATTGTTGAATCGCATGTGTATTGTGAACTCGTGAATTATTATTACGGAGTAATAGGAGTACACCTGTGATCGCACAGACACGAGACAGAGCTCAAACGTGACAAGACTGAAGATGTAAAGAATTTGAAGAATTTCATTATGTGATGACGTGAAAGTGAAACCGTTGACGATGTCAGATGTAGTCTATGAGACATTCCAGCCCAGAACGTGAAGGAAAAAGCCAAGCCTGGCTTGTAAACATGGAACCGATCAGAGGGTTCTTACATGGAGTAACGCCGAAAAATGCAATGGACAATATGTACAGACCGAATGCATCGAATATCGACAATGTGAAGTGAACGCTAATGCAGAGAGAAATCAATCAGGCCTGGCGAGGATCGCGGCAATGGCGTCACAAGGGGCGCAGGGCTGGGGTTTGCGTTGCGGAGCTTCGGCAACTTGGGGCGGACATACGCACTCGTCCTCAGCGGAGCTGGAGTCGGAGACGGAGATCTGACGTGCTTGCGTCAGGCCCGGGGCGTTCATTGGGACGAAGAAAGATTCGCGGCGATCGTACTGCGGGGTGCAAGAGCCGTCTTCATTTTCTAGGAAAACCGATGCCCGTCTCGAGAAATGGCCTCTGGACGGTGCGTCGTCGCACGAGGGGTATGCAGTGCCCCAGAAGGGCAGCTTTGGAGGCGTGCCTTGACCGTTGTATGGTACGTAGATGGATCCACCACGCGGCCTCAGGAAAGGGCTTGGGTCGTCAAAGTCCTCGAATGGACTCTCGCTGGCACTCTTGTCCGACTCCTCTTTTGTAGCCTCGAGGTGCGACCTTTGCAGTGCGATCTCGAGTTCTTCGGGCGAGAAAGGTTGCGAGGGGTTGCGAGTGCGGTCTGAGCCAGTAGCGGGTCTCGAAGGCTGTTGGAGCTGTTGGACGGAGCTGGAGCGGCGAGCGCCTTGTGATTGTTTCCGGCGGGCGTCGCGAGGGTCTTCGGTTGGATTACGGGAGAGGCCCACTAGGCAAGTCAGTAACGCAACGGCTATATGCAGACATAGTCAAACACACCATTGAGCACATCTCCTTCGTCATCGGACGCCTCCTTGATGTTTGCCGGCCTGTCGTCACCGGCGATGCTCGCTCCGATGCCGCTGTCTACCCACTCTTCAGCATCGTAGTCGGAAGAGCAACTTCCTCTCCGACTTCGGTGCATACTACGGCTGCGGCTTCTTCTCCTAAAGCTGCTCCTGCGGCTCGGTAGCCTGCTACCCATGGGTGAGTACAGTGAGGCGTTGCTGTGGCGGCGCCATGCAGTCGAAAAGCTGAAAGCCTCGAGCTTTTTCTTGTGTTCGGGGTCGACGGCGCGACGGTACTTGAGGGGAGGCATCTTCTCGCCAGGCTTGTAGAAATCCGACTCGGGCTCCTCTGGTTTTGCATTCTTGTGTGAGCCCGCAGTGAGGACGCGCTTTAAGCGAGTGCGGAGATGGCCAGGCATTGTGGGCGAAGAATAACAGAGCGGATGGGTAGTGGCCGGTACGGAGGTGCGAGGGTGATTAAGTGGTAGAGGTGATTAAAGTGGTAGAGTGTGGGTGTTGTGTGAATGCTGGGAGTGCAAAAGCGTTGTTGAAGAACAAGCGCAGAGGCACTCGGAAGGATGGTCCGGTATGATGTCGGCAGCAGGGTGAGGCTGATTAGGGAGTGGGTCGGAGCACAGACGCTGGTGCTATCCTGGCCCTGGTCGGGTGCTGGGCAAAAGATGGAGTATCCGAAACTGCGGTGGGACGCTCCAGAGGTCGGGCGCTGAGCACTGGGGAAGAGGGAGGGTTGGATGATATGGCGACAGCTGCAGCGGATGAAACGCGCTGCAAGGCTAGAAGAAAACGCGGAGAAGCGCCCTGCACTCAATACGGCGCTGTTGGGCGTAGGCTTGGGGGTGACGGAGGCTCGCTACGACGCTGAGCCGAGTCGCGAAGGGGGGGTCAACTGCTCCCACTGCGCGACACTATTGCTGCATGCATCCATGCCTGGCGGTAGAAGTTTTCTAGAATGGAAGCAGGCGCGAAAAGCGCAACAGACGGCGGCGTGAAGCGACTGGGCTGCGGTCGGCCGAGCACCAGCTAGCGACAGCCCAGTGCAGCAAAAGGTGGGCCAGACTGCGCGTGGGTGAGCGCTAGGCTGATGGAGGGTGAACTGCCGTTGGGAGTCGCATCCATGGCTTGCCACTATCGTTAATTCGCGCACCCAGGCCTCATTGAAGGCTCATTCGCTGACTGTCGGATAGTGGCACGCAGGTGCGGAAGGTGGTTGGTATTGGGATGGTGCGTTGAGGTGCACGCCGAGCCTCAGAGCAGCGTATTCGAGGCTGTTCGGATACGCCTGGACTCATGCAAACTTCTAAGTTCTGTCAAGATCTGACGTCCCACCACTGACCAGGCCCCTTCAGATTCAGTTGCCGCGTGCCTGCATTCGGCCTACCTCAATACGTCTTGGTCAGGTGCTCGGAAATTGCGCAACTGTGTGGGGTAGATTCGTGTGGGACGCATCGGTGAAGTCATCTCTATATTTGTATGCCACACCGCAACGCGAGATTGTCGAATATGAGGATGTGATACGCCCACACATTCACTCTACCATCTATCGAGCAGCACTGCCTTCAAGGTTACTCATCACCTGGGCATCCAAGTCACGATGTTTGCCGAGGATCCGCCGACGGCCCTCCGACGTCGAATCGAGTGATCGTATACCAGGATGACGCTGCCCCGCATGTCAAACAACTTGCTTTGGCTCCGTGTGCACCTTCACCTGCACCAGCGACAGCTCGAACCGCTGCAATGGGCATGAGGCGCGTCTGTTTGTGGCTGGAACGCGGTAGCTAGCCATGCCATTGGAAGGTGGGGGTCTAGCTCCTGCCGCCAACCCCTCTGCATGACCTCATCGGCGTCGAGCTAGGTAGCTACAACAAACGCCAGCACGCCGTGCACCTCACGAGCTGTGCCCTGCTTTCTGCTACTCTAGTCCCGCGCTTGAGCTGATCCTTGACTACAACTAGAGCCTTCCAAGCTCATCCTTCCGCTGCATTGCATCCTAGCTACCTAGGCAAACAGCAACACCATGGAGAAGATCAAGAGCGTCCTTCACGGACACAAGAAGGATGACACGGTTGCCCACGATGCGCCTACATCCTCTTCCACTGCTGAGGGGTATGTGCTTACATCGCCTTGATTGCAGCCCGAACTAATATCAATCCCAGCCAGGAACACCCAATCTACGACAGCCAAACATCCGAGCGCAAGGCACGGAATGACACTCCGGGAGAGCCAATGTACAACATAAAGACAACCAGTGGCGCTCCATACACAGACTTGGCTCACGGAAGCGGCTCAGCAGGCCTTCACGGAAGTGGTGCACATGGAACACCCACACATGTTGGTACCGATGGCCCTATTGGGACGACGGCAGCTGCGACCGGAGCTCATGACCCAATCCGGACGCAAGATTACTCCAACACCTCGCAGCCTCTCCAAAGCGGAACCGCGACTGCTGGAGGAGCTCAGCGTCCCGATGCCTACCCCCATGGCCACACTGCAGACCCAAGCGTCGCGAGCATCAAGAGCGGCGTTATTGGATTTGGTCCGGGAGCCAACCAGGGACATGCTGCCATGTCGACACACAACCCCACTCAGGAGTATCTGGGTCAAGACCAAGTAGTCGGAGGTGGAGATCATGAAACTGCCGGAATGACCAGGGGAGCAGGAATGACCGAAGGAACAGGCGTTAACCCAGGCCAGACATATCCTCGTACGTAGATCTAATCTACTATCTAATGCGCAAGATCTGACCAGAATGCAGAATCCAGTGCCATCGGTGGTGATTCAATAGGCGCACATTCTGCCTACGCGAGAGAAGCCCAACCATATGAGAACACTCTGCGACAGGAGAGCTACACCGCCGATACTGATCGATCCTTCCCTCTCGCGGGCGGTGTCATCTCAAAACCTCATCAAGATCCCACATCCACCCAATACCCGACTGAGCACACCTCCCCTCTCCAAAACAAAGGCATCAGCGAACTCGACTCCGGCACAACAGAGAGGGGAGTCGGTGTTCATGACAGCCCCTCTCAAGATAGTTACGGGAGGGAAGGGCTGGCTGGAGCAGCCGCCGCCGCTACTGCCATTGGCGCTTCTCAGGCACACTCACAGCCAGAGAGGCAGCCAGAGGCACAGGGTGCTCGGAATCGAGGCCTCCATACTCGCCAGCTTTCATATAGACATGTTGCACCGGGTGACACCACGGGAACTCCTCAAACAGGCGATGTTTCGAGCCAGCCGACGTCTAGTCACCATCCCGAAGCTTTGGCAGCTGCCGCTGCGGCGGCCACCACTGCAGCCGCCTCGAATTCTTCCGCTCTTCCTGCATCTACTCACGGGAATGAGCACAGAACCCGGGATGTCAACGCGGCAGAAGCTCTTCAGCCTATCGCTGGAGCTCCGATGACTGGAATGTCGAGCACTGGTGAGCGCCCAGTAAACCCCCGACTTGAGTCACATAGGCACATTCCTGGCGAATACATTGCTACACCTAGCGACGAGAAGACATTCCTCAATTACGCCCCCGTTATTCAATCCTCATCCACAGACACAAGCGCACCGATTGCGGCCGCGGAGCCTACGTCTACATTGGACCCATCTCACGTTCAGCATTCGAGTATTGACCCCACATCTACAAACGAACCTCATGAGCTGAGACACACTGGAACACTTGGAGAGCCTCAGCCAAAGTCCGCAGATGACCACCACTACGCTCGCGATGCTGCCATTGCTGGAGGACTTGGTGCTGGCGCAGCGGGCTTAGGTGCGCATGCAGCTTCGAAGAATCACGACACCAAGGACGTTGCTGGTAGCCAGCCGTTGTACGAAGAATCTAGCCCGTACAGTAGCAAGATGCTCGACCCTCGTGTTCTAGGCGCTTCTAAGCCAGAGGAGCAGAGATTCGATGAGCAGAGGTTCGATCCATCGGCCAAAACTGAGACGGCTCCTACCAGTGGTTCAGCTATTTCTGGCCCTCCTGTCTCTCACAACCCGTCCGAAACCGCAGAATCACAGCATAATTACGGCCGTGATGCTGCAGTGCTGGGTACAGGTGCTGTAGGAGCCGCTGGAATGCACCACATCCTTCACCAAAACGATACTCCTAGCACTACTACCTCTGCGATTCCCGAGAATTCATCTTACACTTCTGCCACGGGATCGAATGTTGCTGCCCCTCAGCCAACCTCAAACTTCTCTAAGCCGCTCACCACTGCGAGTACCTCTGCCTCTCAACCTGTTGCGAACGATCACTTCTACGGTGCCACAGGAGCCCCTGCACCAATTTCAGATACGAGTGCACAACAACCATCAAGTGGTCTAGGTCAGACATCCACCGCCAGCGCAGTTCCTGAAAGACATCCTGAGCATCACTACGGTCGCGATGCTGGCCTCGCCGGAGCTGGCGCTGCTGCTGCTGGTGGTCTCTATGCTGCAAACCGGGACGACACCGATAGCGGACCAGCTTCAAGCACTATCGGACCTCACTCCAGCAACGCTGCCAACATCGTGGACCCTAGGGTTCAGCCAGAGCCAAGCAAACAGATACACCACAACGTCGGACCGACAGCTGAGGACCCTGCTTCGCGCACCATCGGTCCCCACAGCAGCAACATTGCCAATATCGTCGACCCAAGAGTTAAGCCTGATCCATCCAAGCAAAAGGAGCACACCACGGTTGGACCACACCAGTCAGACACATTGAATCGCCTGGACCCCAAGGTTGACGAGAAGGCTGGCCAGCCGAGTGAGCATCACTACGGTCGGGATGCTGCTTTGGTTGGAGGTGCAGGCGCCGCCGGTTACGGTGCATACCAAGCCGGCAATGCGTACGGCGATCACAAGACGACACAGCCTGAAGCATATGAAGCTGGCACTGCTGGCACTGCGTATGGTAACCAGAGCATGACACAGCGAGCACAAGACGCTATCAATGCGTACGGCGACCACAAGATGACTCAGCCTGCCGCATCCATGCCAGACCAGAGATACGATCCCACGGCTGCCGGTGCACGAGCGACCAACCCAGTTTCTCCAACAAGTCAATACAACTACAACGATCCCACTACCCAAAGCAATGTCAACCGCACTGATCCCAACGACCACATCAACAGGAATGTCGCACTTGGAGGAGCAGGTCTTGCAGCTGCCGGATTGGGAGCAGGTGCTTACGCTGGATCCAAACATGACGACAACACTACTCAGCTTCCACTTCGACAAAAGCAAGACATTGCGTCTTCCGGTCAGACTGCGTACCCAACGCAAGGAATGGCACAGTCTTCCTACCCTGTGCACGAGACTAGTACGACTACATCATACCCCACCTCAGGTACCATCGCGCCTTCCGGTCAAACCGCGTACCCAACGCAGGGTATGGCACAGTCTTCCTATCCCATGCACGAGACCAGCACGGGCGCATCGTACCCAACCTCAGGCACCATCGCACCACACAACACGCATACCCAGGAGATGTCATCTCAACCCTGGGGACCTGGGGCCGTTCCGGTGAATGACAGTCACGATAAGCGCAACGCGGCTCTTATGGGTGGCGCCGCAGGTGCGGCGGGCCTGGGTGGTGCAGCTTACATCAACTCTCAGAACCAGGACGAACGCGAGGCGGAAGAGCGTCTGAAGAAGATTGCCCAAGATCGCGAGAAGGAGCAGCATAGACTCGACAAGGAACAGCACAAGCATGACAAAGAAGTGCACAAGCATGACAAGGCCGTTGCAGCACACGAGAAAGACGAGCATCGTTTGGCCAAGGAACACGAGAAGGAGCAAGCGCGTCTGGTCAAGGAGCAACATCACCGTGAGAAGGAGCTTGAGAAGGAGAACGAAGGCGAGGAGAAGAAGAAGCACGGTCTTCTTGGATTCTTGCACCGTGACAAGTCTAAGAAAGAAAAGTCGACTGCCAGTCCTGAATCTTCACCGCGCCAGTCTCGCGATTACAGTCCGAGACACTCCAGAGACTATGGCGATGATCATCCCGATTCACCACGCTGGAAGGGCAAGCACCTGCTTCACAAGGACCCACCGAAAGGTCACCCTGCCCGTGAAGCTATGGAGCACCAGCAGATGACCGACTCAACTGGTTCGGTAGGAAAGAGGGAGCACATGGGTGTTGATGGTCCGATTGGTAACCCAACCATGATCTCGGGCGATCGGTAAGCTCATTCTTTTCATTCCAACAACTTTGATCAATTCTAACATACACACAGCGAAACTCAGCATGGCGTCTACGGTGCGCATCCGATCTCGGATTTAGACCGCGACAACACGGTCACTGAGCCACACACTGGTCTGCCCATGAACACCGGGCGCTTCGGCACCGGTGCTGGTGGAACAGACGGTAACCCCGCGATTCATGGTGTCCACGAACATTCTGGTCCGGCATCGGGTCAGAGCACTACGGATTGGGAGGCCATCAGGAAGGGCAACACACCATACTGATTTCTTGATGGAATGATGGATTATGATGATCAACGTATACGAATAATGATTTCACGGGATTCACGTATAACTGCAATGGCTAACTGAATATGATCTAATTGAATGTTCTTATCTTAGCGTTCTAGCTGAGCAATACTTGAAGTTGAGCACATTAGCGCAAGGTCGTGAATCGCAGAACCCAGCTTTTACCCCAGACGCCGTGAGCCTGGTCTACTACCTTGATCTTCACCCCACGAACACGAACAACAACCGCGGCACCGGCTGAATACTGCATAACAATTTCTACACAACCAGCTTTAAATCTTGTGTAACGTTGCGACGGAGAAATTCTCTCCGTGATGATCTCACAGATCGCGGGGAAGAAGTGGGGCTCCTCATATCGAACCTGGCTCGGAAAGGCGCCGTCACCGTCGTCGGTTGATTCGCGATGCCAGATACGAATGCTCCATGCTTTTTACAGAAATACTCCGCGGTGCGAGGGCGACTAACGGCACGGGCTAGCAGTATGCACGGCGCACGTCACGAATGTAAATCTGGAGAAGAACGAAGGTGACGAGGATCCTCGCATTCGGATCATTGGATGCGCGGTAAACTTAATCGTAAAGAGGAGGACAGACTATGTAAAGGAAGGGGATCGCTACGGGCGAAAGGTATGGTATTGTTTGAGATTGTTACTACAGATTCCATCTGCCCATCATGAAGCTCTATAGCTCACTTGCTTTCATCCCTCTGTTCCAGCTGGGCTACGCACTCCTCGATGTCGACGCTATAGTAGACAAGCACTACGGCAACGACGCAGCATGGTACCGCGACCGCATTCCTCTTTTCGAGTCGAGCGATCAGGACATTACTGATGTGTACTACTACCGATGGTCCATCTTCCGCGCCCACCAACGCGATCTCGGTGCCTACGGCTACATTTCCACTGAATTCCTCGACGACGTCGGCTGGCAGACTAAACCCTTCGCAAGTCTAAACGATGCAACAGGCTTCCATCTCCTGGAAGGGCGATGGTGTCGCGACCGCCGCTTCAAAGAAGACTACGCGACCTTCATGTACAGCGCCGACAGCAACAGTCGCCAGTTCTCCGAGAGCATGGCCGCAGCAGTCTGGGCAGGCTACCTCGTCGACGGCGTAAAGGAAGACGCTATCAAGCGCCTCTCCGATATGACGCGCGTATACGACGCCTGGGACGATTCCTTCGACACGTCAAAGGGGCTCTACTACGTCGAACCCATCCGCGACGCAACCGAATACACAATCTCGTCCATCGACTCGTCGGGCGGCTACGACGGTTTCTTCGGCGGCGACTCCTTCCGGCCCAGTATCAACAGTTATCAATATGCCAACGCGCTCGCTATCGCCAACATGGCGTCCCTAGCCGGGTCTATGAACAGCACCGTTGATACATACACCACCCGCGCCGAAGCACTAAAACAGCGCGTCCAGGAAGCTCTCTGGAACACAACCTTCTCCCACTTCATCGACCGCTACCAAGTCAACAACGAAAACGTAACCTACTGGGACCCGATCCGCGGCCGCGAACTCGTCGGCATGGTCCCCTGGACCCACGACTTGCCCGACGATAACGCAGACTACGCGCAAGCCTGGGCTCACATCCTCGACAGCTCTAAACTACGGGGAGAAGCCGGTTTGCGGACTGTAGAACCCAGTTACGAGTACTACATGCGACAGTACCGGTACGAAGGCCCCAACCCAGAATGCCAATGGAACGGCCCAGTGTGGCCATTCCAAATGACGCAAGTCCTCTCCGGCCTCGCCAACTTCCTCGACCACTACGAAAAGGGCAAGGAGACTGGTATTATCAATTCGGACGACTACACAAACCTCCTCCGCCAATACGCACAGCTCCACCGGAACCCCTCTACGAACATCTTAGATCTAGAAGAAGACTACTACCCCGACACCGGCCTGCCCATCGTAGGACTCAAGCGCTCGCACCACTACTTCCACTCCGGTTTTAACGACCTCGTCCTCTCCGGTCTCGTGGGCATACGACCTCGCTCCGACGACGTACTAGAAGTAGCCCCCTTGGCATCAGCCGCCCAATTAACCTATTTCCGCGCCGAACGCATCATGTACCACGGCCGCGAAATCGCCGTGCAATGGGATAAAGACGGTAGTCATTACGGCGGCAACAGCACGGGTCTAACCGTCGAAGTCGACGGGGAGGTCGTTGCGTCAAGTCCCAGTCTCAGCCGTGTTACCGTTGAGTTGGGGAGGAAAGCTCCGCCTGCCATTACCAGGAAAATCGCTCAGTCTATCCAACTCAACTCTACAACACCCTATCCCCGCGCTTCAGCCTCCGTCGGTAACTCCAGCCAAGCATCCACATACCCCGCGATCGACGGCCGGATCTGGTTCTACACCGAGCCAGACGCGAAGAACGGGTGGGATTCCCCCCTTGGCAACGGCTCTTCCATCTGGTTCCAGATCGACTTCGGCAAGTCCGTTACTACGAGTAGTGCTGAGCTGGCGTTCTTTGCGAACGAGGAACAAGGGTTTGCGGAGCCGGCGGGCTATAGCATTCAGGTGCCTGCTGGTGGAAACGGTACGGAGTGGACGGATGCAGAGGATGCGGTGTATGGGGATGTTGTTGCGAATGGGATTACGGAGGCGGAGTGGAAGGAGGTTGAGGGACAGAGGGTTAGGGTTGTTTTCACGCCCAAGATGGGGATGAAGGTTAGGATTGCGGAGTTCAAGGTATACTAGTCGTAGGCTTTACTACTTGGACGACGCGAGGACCAGTAGCATCTCGTAAGAGGGTAGAGTAGGATCAATGAAATACCTGTGGTCTTGACTTGTTCATTTGTTCATTCATTTAGCAGCATCAAAGCTGAGGGTATCTATCTCCAGCTGTTGAAAGGCCAGATTCTACTTTTTTGTCTTACGCCAGAAACATCTTCCCATGCCTCGACGAAGCCTATACCTAGCTGCGCACATCGATGTGCAGTCGCTAGGTACGGCAAGCACGAACCTGCTCGCGATGGCATGCCCTCGTAGATTGTTGAAATACACGAGCTTCAGCGCTCACTCAGTGTGAAGACGCTTAGCTGCTGTAAGTTTGCTTGGGCTGGGGGTATGACGGGCCCAGCTCCTGGATGCTGAGCTTGGCAAGCCATTGACCCATGTCGATGGCCTTGTCGAGCGGCTTGCCCTGGACGATACCAGCGACGAAACCACCGGCGAACGCGTCACCGGCACCGTTGGTGTCGTTGATCTGCTCCTCCTTGATGGCGTGTACGGAGAACTCCTTGACGTCAGCGTCACCGCCCTCCTTTGCGGTCACGGCAATGGTTGGGTCGGTGCCTTGGGTGAAGACGACAGTCCTGGGTCGCTTGCTGTTCTGCTTGGGTGTGTTGGCAAGCTTCTTAGCAATCTCCTTGACGTCCTTGGTCTCCCAGCCCTGTGCCTCGGCGAATGCGGCGGCCTCGGTCTCGTTGCCGATGACGATGTCGACGTAGGGGAGGACCTCGTCGAGAGGGTCCTTGAAGAATTGCGAGATGAAGGGCGCGGAAAGGTTGAGGATGAATTGCTGGAAAGTTGTTAGCGCACTGCCGTTTTCTCAACACATCCAAGATCTTCATACCTTGTCCTTAGCGGCAGCCTCCTCAGCCAGGGCCTTGACAGCTGGTACGCAGACGGTCAAGTGGAAGCCACCAACGTAGTAGACTTTGGCGTTCTCGACCTGCTTCCAGATTCGCTCCTCCTTCAAGTGGTCGATCTTGTAGTTGTTGGCAGCGGCGAGGTCGGTGCACATGGAGCGGTTGTGGCCGGTGATGACAACACCGCAGCGACCAGTGGGAGTCTTCTCATCGTACAGGTACTCGGTCTTGACACCGGCGTCGGCTGAGATCTTCTCGAGAGTCTCGCCGTACTTGTCCTTGCCGATGCAACCAACGTATACGACCGACTTGGGCTCGAGGATGTAAGCCGCACCACGGGCAGTGTTCTGGGCGGCGCCACCAGCGATCAGGACGGCGTTGTAGTTCTGGAGCAGGTCCTCGTACAGGCCCATGTGCTTCTCGGGGTCGGCGAGGATCGCATCGTTGGCCTTCAAGCCATACTTGTCGAGGAGAGCCTGGTCACTGCTAGCTGTTAGCACAAGCTCACTGTGGTGCTCCTCCGCACTTGCTGCAAAGCATTGCGATTCTAGCTGGAGGAAGATGGACTCACCCGACACCCTGGATGTCCAGAAGCGGGTTCTCAAGGCAGAATAGTTCGTAGTTTCCAGGCATTGTGTTTGTTGTGTGTGTAATAAAAGACGTTGGTGTCGTAATGGAGTGAAAGTGCTGAATGTGGGGCAGTGTTTCGGACAGCGAGGGGCAGCAAGCTCCGCGCTAACAATTGCACCGACACGTAAAGTCCCGAATCGAGCAAGGTAAGTGCAGCCGGGTGGAGCATCTTGTCGCGCATACGACGAAAGGCATCCTGTAGAAACATGGCTTAACATCACAGCAAATATGAGGCCTGTGGTGATACGCATAACTCCTTGTTAAATCTATAAAGTGAAGTAGAGCTTCCAGACCAGGCATGGACCGTTGAGACTCGACTCATCTCCGATCCAGAAGCTCAAGGCCTTGGATCATCTGGAAGACAAATCATTTCTCAAGCCAGACCACAGCTGGCTGGCCCGCAACATCAACCCAAGCAATAGTGCAATAATTTCAGTCTGTAAAGCAAATCGCCCCATCTAACTGCCTTCCCTTGATCTTCGATGGTGCTCTGGACAACTCATGGCATGCAAACGAAGCATGATGGGAGCACACATACCGCATGCGGAAGAGCACCCACGCTCACTTGGTTGGAGAGTTGGCTCGTAACTCATCCATTGGAGCTCTTCAACTCCGACACGACAGTCTTTAGTATCCAGGTTGGTAGTCTGGCGCACCGTATGTCTAGCGACGGTAACGACTGATGATAAGACAGCATTAAGCAGCCTGCTACGGCTGCGCTGGCATTGGATCAGCCGCCTTGGC